GAAATAGTGTATGTGCTATAAATATTCGAACGTAATCTTAATGAATGACTTGGTGATCGCGGCCCAGTCTTCTTGCTTCCCGCAGAGCTACACAACAGGATGTGTGGTTAGAACTGTGGGTGCTGCAGCGCAAGCCATTCGTGGTCCATCTGTAGGCGCAGGCGTACTGTGGCTGGCCACAGTGACAGGCAAATTCGCAACGGTATACCGCCAACTATTTATTCATTTGTACGTAGTCCTGTTATCCAGTTTCGGATTTGATGTTTCTTTGATCCCGGTGGCAACGCTTCACTCGAACCTTCCAAGCAAATTTTGTTGCTAATATATGGCACTTTTGCTTTCCAGGAAGACGACTACAGTGGATCCCCAGGAAATTTCTTCGTGCTGCAACAATTGATGTAAAGTGAACATGTGATCAGTGCAATCCCGACCTAGACAATACCTTGCTTCCTCCTCACGAATCTGGCTTTCACAGTTGCCAACAAGCTTATGACGTACGATGGCAACAGGTAGCTAGGTGGCAACTGATATCAGACTGATGCCTCTTTGAATGCTGCGTTTCGCACATGAGCCTCCCTCAAAATTTGGTCTATTACGGAGCAGCTCCAGTCGATTGAAACAGTTTCCTGCACCCTACATCTCCAATAGTAACTTTTTCACTCTTCCGCAAGCGCAGTTCCACTGAATCTGAATAGGGCTCTAGGAAGTCTATATGCTCCTGCGCTCTTATTCAATTTCAGTCGTCCGATCCCATGGTCTACTACTACGCGTGAAGTCAGCTACAAGAGAACAACTTTGGGAATGGGTAATCAATGGTCCATGAAGGTAACTCTGCTTAAACTGCTTTTCAAAGTGTTCGGCCAACGCTTCCGGCGTTTTTACAAGCTGTATATTGGCTATCCACTCTCGTTGCATGTGGTCTCGTTAACACCAGGTCTTTTGCTGCCTGTTACTCTTATCAGACGGAATAACTCACGATATTCACCAAGGGCAGTGTCTGTCACTATCACCGATGTACGATGAGTTCATAACACTTCGCGATTTTTCTTCAGTACACCACGCAGTTTCGTCATCAAGATTTTGCGGGTCTCATTGTGTTCACTGCCAGCGGAAATGTGTTGGCGAACATCCAAAAATTTAAGTGACTGCGTAGAGATCGAATGTCTAGGTTGGCAATTTGATTTGCCACATGAATACATAGTTGGCGGCATCCGGTTTCGGATATACCTTTCACTGTGGCCAGGCACAGAATGCCTGCGTCCACAGAGGGACCATGGCTTGCGCTGCACTACCCACAGCTCCATCCACACACCCCATATCCAGTGTAAACCCGAAAAAATAAGACCGGGAGGCATGTGGATGGGAGCCACATTTCATCAACGGAGCTGGCCCACACTCCTTCACAGGCAAACACAAGCACGCTGTATTTGGGGAATCAAGAGCACACACTGCGGTGTCTGAACCGTAGTCCGCTTCACACTGAGTGCATGGAATCACTCTTCGAGACTAGCACGACCACAAGGACCGTGCACCCCGTCCCCTCCAGCGACGACGAACTGTCTCCTAGAGCCAATATGGAGGAGGTAGTGGGTGAGAGACAGGTCGGCACCTTGTCAACATGCACATCCGGGGCAGCCACACCTGGGTGTCAAACAACAGCCAATCACTTGAAATGACGTTAGGAAATAAAATATTTCTATTACAGTACACGGCTATGCAGACCTAACTCTTCGCTAAATGAGCATATGAATCAAGGCAGTTATCAATGAATCCGCGATAAGTACAAAATGTCCACAAGTTACTCAAAGATGCTACAAACACAGTGAAGTTAACGAAGCTAACCATATTGAGCGTAAGTAACGTGGTCAGTTAACAGGAAATTACTTTGGTAAGCCGAACAAAGAGAATAAAGTGGAATGAAATTTATCCTGCTTAAAAAGACCTAGTTTAAATGTAAGTTTGTCTAGCCCAACTGTGGTGAAGAAGCATCATGAATAACGACATCAGCCTCAGCATGAGGCACACATGGATACATACCGTTGCTAATAACCTCTGGTTGATTTACGACCAGTGGCCTTCCACTGTGTCCAGTGGGCACTTACTCAGCCCGGATGCCAGCTTACTTTGATACGCATTCAGAACAACTGACTTCGTCTGTTGTAAGTATTTATACGCTCACAGCGTCACCGCATGCGTCCGCCGGAGCGAACTCTAAGATCAGAGCAAACGTTTGCGTTTGCTCTCCAATTAGACCGACAGTTTTGTACACATCTTCTCCCGCGGTAACTGATCTCGTTGTGATCGATTTGCGTCCATGGCTGGCCTGAGGCTGGTGGGCGCCGTCACCCTCCGGCGGGTTGTGTGTCTGAAGTTAGTGCCCGCGAGAAGTAGACGACAATCTTCACACAGGTGTCGCAACCGCTCACCGTTATTAGTACGGAAGCGTACACCGTGTTGGTCAACCAGATGCAGCTCACCAGTGGACAGTTTTCCAGTCTGGGCGTTTACATCACTAGCAAGCACCACAGTATCCGTACATTTTCTATAGCGGAGGAGCGCGTTTAATTGATGATAGGAGTCAACTTTTACCGAGTCAGTGTTACAGTTTGTGGGCGCGTAGGCCGCAATGACAAACAAGTACCGTTTGTCCCCTCATGATTTTTACTCTGAACTAGCCGGCCATTCTGACGGCGTACATCCGGCTGTTGATTGGGATCCAATCGATCAGGAAAGCTTCGGCCCGGGAGCTCAAACCAGCATTTGAAGCTGCGTCATCTCCAGAGAGGCGCGATGAGGAAGTGCCGCTAATGTCACATGTGGGGGATCGTAGGGTGAGCACAGAGCGAGTTTCCGATAAACGGCAGATATCGATCTATGGGGTCTCCATTGTTCGGCCAAATGCTGTCATTTGGTCAGTTTGTAATAAAGTGTGCACGTTGAAGTATGCCGTTTTTAGGGAGGATCGAGGACTCCAAAGAAGAACAGATGAACTGACATCTGCTAGGCTGAATATGAACCTTTCGATTGGGCGGAAGTGACGCTCTGCAATTGCGTTTGAGTCGAACCTGGAAGACGAATGACCATTGAAGCAAGGTGGAGGATGGTCGAGAATTGATGGTTGGAAACGAGAGAGAAATACGTGAAGTTGTAAGGGGACAAGGAAAAACCCACAAGAGGGGGAGTAAGAAGATGGGAATGTTTAAGCAGTAGCATCCTCAATCCTATCCACTCTGCTCGATGTAGGAGATAGGGCGCTGTTGATTATCCTCTGAGACGGCCAGAGCATCAAGGAATTGGTTGAAGGGAAATGTACTGTATTGCGCTGGCACGTTACTCTCAGGTTGCCAGGCGTAGACAAGAGAATGACTAGGCTCCTCAACCAAAGTCTTTGGTTCAAAACCTGACTACATTGCAGTGAGGTTTTGCAACTGGGCTACAGATGGCTAGTAGACTGGGCTGGTCTGGCCCCAATCATTGACTAACCTGATATTAGTGGCTGTGAAGGTGCAAATCCACTGTCCAGCATAGCTCAATGCACTATTGAGGCACGCAAACCATCGCACCACGTTAAGTTCCAGTCTCATCGCTCTCATTGGGGCTTATGAGGACCGTTAGTACTGTGTTGTTTCTTCAGCAGTTCCATCCACGTAACGATCATTTGGGAAACCTGTGCCCACACCCACTGAATTTGACACTATCCATAGATGGCTGCTTTTAATCGATCATTGTTTTTAGCTTCTCTAAGCCCACTAGACTTGCCCTTCCTTGTATCTCATGCTATATACTCGGACTACTCTATTCCTAGACAATTTTTGACACTGGCAAATTAGACCGTTGTTAATTCTGAATCAGTTCCCATTGGCGAATTCTCCTGAAAGGGATTCGATGTCGCTGCTACTTGGACTCCAATTCCGGCTGGCGAAATACTCTCACTGACCTTTGCGTAAAACGCACCCTTGCACCTCATTTCACATCAGCAGGCTCAAATCAACCGGTGACCCCCGTGCTGTTGCGATGAAACTTGCTAACAAGGCTATTCTATTCGGTTGGAAACTCTTATGCCTATCACTCATGGCGCTTCGTTTAAACTTGGTGGATAGCTTCATTTTCGTCCCTACTGTTGGCTGTTGGTTCTCACTTTTCAACATAAAGAAATGCCGTATGGAAATCGGTGCGCAACAATTTGTCAAATTAATCACTGCCTCTCTCGTTCTCCTCATTGTACTTGTGAAGAAAAGGTCACGTTTTGCTCACCATCAGCCGGTTTTCTCGTTTCCGCCGAATCGTACCCAAGATTAATGATTAACCCGTATTTGGTCCACGGATTTTGACACTTGCTGAGTTCCAACATTCCCAAATTGGGCTGCACACCGATGATTGGACGCCCGCACCATTGTGTGCATTCGTATCTGCATCTTCACCCTCATCGATGTGACAACGCAGCATCTGTAACAGCCCGCATCCAACTTCGTTTTCATCACTGTTTACCGGTCGATGATGTTGCTCAGGTTTCACTCGTGATTATTTGTACTTCCGCTGGTCGTTGCCACGTGATACGGTAACTCGAGCGATTTCCACCTTTTCCGCATTACTCTTAATTGTCTCGGGTATATGTGGCGCCGGCCTGAGTAGCAATCCATCGAATGCCCATGGGACTACTTTTGCCGTGGCTGGAATCGTTGGACCAATTGCAAAATAATTTATAGCTCTTTAACTCGATGTTCCAGTCCTGTAGTGGATTTTAGCAATATTGGAAACCTTATTAGCAGCCACATTGTAAGACAACCATTTGCTTTGACTAACCGGCTAAGTGGTTTCTCTTGAATTACGCAATGCACTTAGTTGGGTCGCCTGACTTAAGTGTTCGCTGTATTTAGCAAATTCTCCTAATGCTACTGAATTCCATTCTTGTTTTTCTCTAATTTATTTCGAAGTGCCTCACTTACCCCTCTGCTGCTATCAAACAAAAATTTCATTTCGCCTACTCGTCCTATATCTAGCTCTCACCAAGCCATCTGCTTGAATCGCAAGGTGATCGGTCCGGACCAACTTGAATACCACCTTGAAATGGAGCGTCAGTATAACCAACTGGAATCTCAATTGAAACCCCTGTTGGAGCTCGTCTGATCACGGACATCACGAATGATGTGCAACGACAACAAGAAATTACTGATTATTGCCTCATTCAGCGACTCTAACGATAGCTGCTTCGTCTTTCGTTGCGTTTTTCTCGCACGCAATCATTTTTTCAATCCTTACTGTGTCATACCACTTTTTGCGAGATTGCACCTTATGTTCTTCCTCATTACCGTTACTGCAGTTCATCACTATTGTGTAAACTATTTTCTCACTTTCCTAACCGTTTTCATGGTTCTTTTCCTCCTACCACACATCCACACATTATTATTTTGCGTACTGTCAGCGCACCTGATCCAATGAATTCAAGTTGCACACTTTCAACGGTAGTTCGTCCTCACCTCACATGAGTTTGTTCCGTTCGAATCGGCATTTTCCGGAGGCTGCACGGGGAGGGGTGACTTAGGGTTTTCTTCTATTACAGTGAGGAACCGTGAACTTTACTGTGTGGGATTGATCGACTAAGTAGAGTATGCTGGGGCATTTAGGGTCTCGGATTCGATTTTAGTGGACGCAAACTGAACGCTATTTCAGTGTGCTTTCTAGTTAGAAATCACACGTGTGCCACATATCCGGAGCTCAACCTCCGTTCACTAGCGGCGTTTGAAAGTGACGTTTCACACTACATCGGTGCGTGTTCTCAACAACCTTAACCCATTTTTTGTCAACCTACCTATTTTGGATAGACTTCTTCTACTTGAATGATAACATATTCGGATATTGGTGGTGGGTGGCACGAGGGCTCAGCTCGATTGCTTCTCGCAATCCAACAGCTCAGAGAAGATTGTAATTCTACTGTCATTGTTGAGTGCTTCCTTCCATTGTGTGCTGATCACTACCACCTTGCAGCGAGTGCGTGTTATCGATCGGCTACTGAGATACATGGTGTCCTGATCTCACGTTGACCATACTGCTATCCATTACAGGAAGCTAAGTATAGATTATGCATGTCGGTGGAACTGGAGCACTCATGCCGATTCCAGCCAAGCCCTCGTGCGCGCCCGCAATACGTTCACTCTTTCGGCTGTTGAGAGGCACGCGAAGCGGTAACGGAGCAATGCTTTACTGCGGGTAAGAAAGCCAACGCCGAACTAGCTCCGTATGGTAGGTCGGATGAGAATAAAAATTAACGCAAATTGTCAGTCAATTTGGACTTGCACCAGTTGACTCATCGAGAGTTTCGCACGGCGAATATACCGTCTGTTTGCGTCACGGGACCTCCCGGGGAACGCAGGCGATATATGAAAATGTATATTGCGCTGTGCATCATAAAGTCGTTTTTAATGTGTCGATAACATGGCGTCAGGAAAGTTCGCTTGGTTGACCTTCTACAAGTGACATATTTGAAAGAAATTGACGCTTAAGTACCGCCTAACTAATAAAAAGAAAACTGACATAGTCGACAAGAAACACTGTTCCAGCTTCGGAACTGCGATCTATCTTCGCCACCATCCCCCTTATTCTTGTGTGCAACAAGCATCGACTCTCGAAGCCGATTTCCTCTTATGTAATGTATCGAGTTACGTGCACATTTGGTGCAACATTTATTGGTGGAACTGCTCGTCATGTCACGTCCCACTAAGGAACATAATCCTGAGTGGTTTGCGTACGAAGGCCCTGAATTTCTGACAAGCAGAATTTTGTCCCACTTATGAGAATCAGGTCACAGGTTTATCCTTCCCATTGAACAAATTGAAATCTCTGCGTCTAAGAACTCTCTCTATAGCAGAAGCCATTGCGAACTGCATATCCTAACCCCCGTTATGCTAGCAAAAACGTTTGCTCACCCACTCTGTCTACCATGACTGAACAGAAGTCAACCCAACTGTCACTCTGACACCAGGCTCATCGATGTGATTACGTAAACTCGATCGCTGTCTTAAGACATCGACGAACTATCTAACCATTAGCCTACATCTGAACCAATCACCGTGCATTTTTTGTATTTTAACTTTATATGATTTTTACCGGCCCGTAAATGGATCATTAAAAACAAGTATTTACCTCTGACGGTGTTCTCTAAGTTTATATACCTTTTCACTTGGATATACTACGTGACCATCGTTAGGTGATAGACTCTCAGGTTGATCTTAAGACTGAATTCCATAAAGGAACTGCAAAGGTGCTCTTCAGAATTTGGTAAGCCATTATGAGTTTATTATGAAGCCGGCGGCATAGACGACTATACACTCCCATGGGTTTCCATCTAATTTGGTCAGATAGATCTGATATGCTATTCCTTGTGTGGGCTTTAGAGCAGCAAGAAAGTAATTCTACCATGGCTGCTACCCATGGATGTTGTATTCCACTTCGGATCGCTCTTAGGCCCTAGGCATTTATGGTGGTGCCAGCTAGGCGGTCCGGGTATTTCCCGTTCCGGCGAATGGCTCGGCGACAGTGTTCCAAGACGTGGTTGGTTTAGACCTGGCAAGCCACAAGTTTCCGCTTAACAAATCTGCGATGTGGCGGATGTGACTCATCACTAAACAAAGTCACTACCCCTTGTCTTCCTTGGACACATTGTATACCGGCAAGCAATCCGAGCATCGGATTCTGCCTTTGAATTAGGGACTGTTGGGACCCTGGTATGGTATTTTGTCATCCGAAAGGCGCATGAACTAAATGTTCAGTCACCGGCTCCTAAAGGGATGCGAAACCCTTATTTCGCACTGCTGCCTTATAGGTAGGACGCTTCGGCCAAAGGCTCGGGGTCGTGGTCCCCTAAGACAATCCACGGAACCACACAACTACGCTCTTTCTCTCGCTCTCATGATTCACTGTCTTGCGACTACGCCAACTTTACAAACACACGCCACCGATTTAGATACTCTTTCCTTGTATCACTCACCTCCACTGTTACCTGATTCTTCTAATATGAACAATCATATCTCCGCCGATGAAGTTGTCCTATCACCACTCCTCAACTTAACCACAAAGTCCTAGACAGGGAGCTGTCAGCCCCGAAGTCTGCAATCTCCGCTACTACAGCGTGGAATGCAATTTAAACTAGCGACCCTCAACGTGCGCAAATTATTTCAGATAGGTCAGCAAGCTGGACTTGCACGCACGCTGGAGACCCTTGCAATTGATGTCTGCTACCTGAGCGAAACTCGACTGCAGGATTCCAACACAGTCTACCAGCTGTCGTCACCAATCCAATCACACACCCGCTTTTATCCTCACCTTTCTGCTGTCGCTGAGTCCGCCTCATCTGGGCAAGCTGGTGTGGGAATCGCCCTCAGTATTACAGTTAAGGCCGCCATGCTTGACTGGATTCCAGGATGCCACCTTGCATGGTGGTGAAACGTCTGCAACCAAACCGCCAAGCTCGGAGAACAAAGGAACACTTGGACCGATCATGCTTGGGTGTGTGCGATAGTTTATATATGTTTCGGTGGCTCACGCAGGGCAAAGCAAACCCGACTGAACACTCACAAGTTGGAGGACCCAACGGTGAAAACGCGGTGCCAAGAGAGGCTTCGCGAAAATCTCGTTCACCCCTATGCTCCGGATGTTGATCAACACTAGTCAGCTTTGCAACAATCAATGCTGTCCAGCTACGGACTAACCCGCTTTTCAACCACAAGCTGGATCTCGGTAAAATCATCGGAACTGCTAGCTCGTCGACGGTGCGAGGCATAATGAACTTCGTCGGTCTAACTTTCAACAGCCGAAGTCAGGCCTCCACTCTGACCGTGTATCCTGGTGGTCAAAACAAGCTGCTGAGATCGAGGCTGCCGCATCAACTGCAAACTTCCGCAGTTTATTTCACCTCATCTAGATCACTGGTTGCATTTCACACGCTGTCCGTCAGACATTTTTTGAGTCAGACGGCAGAAAAATCACCAACCTGCACAGGCGCTTGGGTCGCTGGGCAGAGCACTTTGCTTTCCAATTTAACTGCTCAGCACAGTCCACTGCGACACCGTTTCCCTTGGATAGTGCTTGGCCTATCGCCACAGATCCTTCTACCGAAACAGATATCCGAAGCGCAATCCAATCTTTGAGGCGTCATTAAATTCCCAGCCCTGACAGCCTACCCCAGCTCTATTCAAAGAGGGAGGAAATGCACTTGTCAGCAAAATCCTACCACTGTTCAAGAGGATTTGGATTGACGAGTAAGTCCCAATCGCATGAGCCGAATCGGTCATTGTCCCGATTCACAAGAAAGGCTCCCGCGAAGGTTGCGCCGAGTACTGCGGAATTTCGTTTATCTCTGTTGCGTCTAAGATTTACGTGTTTGTTCTACTTCACATGCGTTCAGCGACTAGGAGGCGTTTCCCGTGAAGAACAATCAGGTTTTCGTCCAGGCCGAAGCTGTGTCGACCAAATCTTCACGATCCGCTGACTTCTTGGGATTTGTCACGTCCACTGACGGCCAACAATCGTACTGTTCTTGGACATCCGAGCAGCATTCGACTCAGTAGATAGATCTGCGTTGTGGAACTGTCTATTAAGGAAAGTTGTGCCCGACAATTTTGTGGCCATCCTTAAGGATCTCTAAAGTCACAGGTTGGACAAAATGAGAGCTTACGACACACTTTCCACTTCCTCTGCTGTCACCAGCGGGGTGCGCCAAGTTTGTTCCATTTTTTCTTTCCTTTTCAATTTTACCATTGAAGATATGCTCCAACAACCATTGGAAGGCATACAAAACTGCGCTGTTGAACATCTCCCAGGTGGCAGAGCCGTGGTCCTGGAAAACGCCGATGATATCGTTTTGCTTGGGGACGATCCACAAGACGTCCAGAGCGCTTTGAACCGCTTAGCAGTAGTGGCGTCTAAGTATGGCCTGGATTTCACCCCACGCAAATGTCAAATACTACTTCAGGACTGGCAGATACCTGTGCCTGCTCTCACCATTGCTGGTGACGTCCTGGAACAAGTCCTCTGTTTCACCTGTATCGGGAGTTGCATCACAGCTGGCGGTTGTATTAGAGATGAAGTATCACAACGGATCGCAAAGGCCCGTCTTGCTTTCATCAGACTGAGACACTTATGGCGCCGTCGCGACGTCAGTCTCAAACTCGGGAGCAGGGTACACATTGCCTCTGTCCGTGCGGTCCTCTTGTACGGTTGTGAGACCTCGCTTATTCGCTTGGAAGACTTGAAGCGATTGTCAGTTTTTGATAATCGTTATCTCCGTAGGATTGCTCGCGTGTGGTGGCAGCACCACGTGTGCAACAATGAAGTCCGAGGTCGAGTGTTTGGAGCAAACAGCCCATGTCTCCAAACCGTTATTCTCCGACCACGCATGCGTTGGCTCGGCCAGGTATTGCTCATGCCAACCTATCGCCTTCCCTGTCGAGCGTTATTTACGCCCCCGGAAACGATTGG